CGGGGCCGAGACCCCCAGCATGCCCAGGGCTGCCCAGGGGCCAGGGCACAGAGCCAGCCCAGCCTTGCGAAGCGTGGCAGAGCCTGGGGCACGGGCGCAGCCGACCACATCCCCCCGCGCCCACTGCTGCCAGGGAGGCCCAGGCTGGAGTCGCGCTGCAGCCGGAGCCAGGAGCCAGGCACAGGGCCTCCCAGGTCGTGCCCGTGCACCCTGTGCCAGGACAGCCCCTGCCCAGCACCGCCCCCGGGGATTAGAGGGGATTGGGTGGCTCAGGCGCCTCTCGCCATCTGCCCGTGGTGGCTGCAGAGACCCCCGCCCCGCCGTGGGGCCCTGGAGCTGCGTGGCTCCTGCTCCGTGCTGTGCTGCGCCCCCACCCCAGGCACGGCTCCCCCGGGCCCCGCGGACCCGAGCGCACACCGCTGCCCCCGTCCTCCCTCGCGGGCACACGCTCCGGGAGGGATTAGAGACGCTAATTGGCTCAGACTCCCCAGACTTGCTTCCCCGCGCAGCCAGGCCAGGACATGAGTGGGGGCCCCAGGGCTGTGGAGGAGGAGCCTGCGCCAGCCCCACACGCAGGAGTCCCTCCATGCCCCCTTCCCCTGCAGTGTCTGGAGGGTGCAGCCCCCAGCCCCAGACCAGCGCTGCCACAGGGACAGTGCGACGCTGCCCCGAGGGCCTGGCCCTGCCTGCTCGGGGTGCCTGCGCCCAGAGGAGCTCCCCTTGCAGCCGGCGCCCAGCAGGCCCTGGGGTCCTCCCTGCATGACCCACCTGATGGGGAAGGCTTCCCGCCAGCGGCAGCCCTGGGGCTCAGACCCCCTTGCTGCCCCTCAGAGCATGGCAGGGCTGGGGCCAGGGCGTCCTGTGCACACAGCAGCCTCCTCTGGGCCCCGCCACGCCCTGGCCAATGCTGCCGAGAAGGGGGCTCCGCAGCCCCCACGCTGCTCCCACCTGTGTCTGGTGGCCGCTGGGCATCATCCCACGCCCAGTCCCGAGACCGACGGCTCCCAGTGGAGATGCCAGGTGGACTGCGCCAGCCCCCGGGGCATCAGCCTTGGGGTGCCCGGGCTGATGGAGTGTGAGCCACGCAGCCCCAGCACTGCCAGTCTGTGCAAAGGGGAAGCCAATTAGGCTGCTGCCTGCCATTGGCCACGGGCGGGGTGGGGGGCCTGGGGTGAGACAGGTCTGCAGCAAACGTGATTAGGCTGGGAGCCAAATGCAGCCTCTTAACCCTCTTACCAGCTGCAGGGATTAGCCGGTCCGACAGGACACGGAGCCCCATGCCACGCTGCCAGCCACGGGGGCTCCCAGGCTGGATGGGGGGGCAGAGGGGGTCCCCCGATGGCAAATGCAGAGTGCAATGCACAGTGTGGGGGTGGGGGTGGAGGCCGAGCCCTTGGCCCTGGGGAACATGACAGCGCAGAGCAGCGCGTGGCAGTCCCTGCTGCAGGGAGCCCCAGGGCCAAGGGCCGGGTGAGAGGTGGGGACGTCCGTGCTGGGCAGGGGTTGCCAGCGGAGCCGCAGGGAGCTGCCCCGGGCCCAGCTGTGCCCAGAAGGGCGGCGAGGCCGAGGGGAGCCAGACCGGACCGTGCTTGTCCTGCTGCTGCTGCAGGGACCTGAGGCCTGGCTGGGCCAGACCCATCCCGGGCCCTGCGGGGTGTACGGCAGGGACCATCCGCCAGGGTGAGGCCCAGCCCACACCGGCCTGGTCAAGCTCAGCTGGGCAGCAGGCTGCCCAGCTGTGCCCCCGGCCTGCTTGCAGCTCCAGACCTGACTCCATGCCCCAAACCTCTGGCTGGACCCTCCTGCCTGCTCCTCCCCGGACCTCCTGGGCCAGATCAGTCGCTTGCCGGGTCACAGCCTCACCTTGGCCCTTGGCTGCTCTCCTGGACTCGGGCTGTCACCCAGGTTTGACCCCTGCCCTAGAGCGACCGCCCACGCCCCGGTCTGCCCCACAGCTGTCCCTCAATGTGGGGGGGGCAGGGTGGCAGGGGCCAGGGGAGCGCGAAGGACAGGGCAGCCACAGGCAGTGGGGTCATAGAAGTGACTTTGCCAAAAGTACCGACAGCAGTTAGCTGAGGATGAGCAAAGTCACGAGCACCCGAGCTTCAGCGCGCTGCGCCCGTGCTCCACCGCGGAGCCCCCCGCGGCCTTACACAGCTCTTTCCCGCCGAGGGACGGGGAAACGCCCATGCTGCATGTGCATGGGCCTGCTCAGGCACGGGCATCTGCAGACCTGCGCCGCCCCGGCGCCCCGAGAGGGCAGGCCGGAGCCGGGGGCCCGGAGGCTGCAGAGGGGAGCGCACAGGCTCCCAGGTGGATCCTGGGGCCGCGGTGGACGAGCAGCTCCAGGGAGCAAACCACAAAGCTGCAGCGCAAAGGGCTCGGTGCGACCGTGGCCGGCAACAGGGAGCTGGCGGCACCTCCGTGCGGGGCAGAGCCAGCAGCGGGGACCAAGCGGTGTCCTGGGAGAGGCTTCGCGCCCGGGCCAGACGGGGCTCCATCGGAGGCTGCAACGGGCAGAGGGGCTGAAGCCGACCCGCAGGTTGCAACCGGGGCAGCCCAGGAGCAGGGGCCCTGGAGCCAGCGCCTGGGGTCGTGGGTGACCCCACGGGGAGCAGCCTGGGGCCGCACTGTGACCGCCCCACATGCTCCGTGGGCTAGGACCGCAGCGCCCGGGGCGGGGGCCGGATGCGGCCCCGCTGGCCCGTGCGTC